TTAATATTTCTAAACACAAAATACTTACTACCTATACGTCAACTTACTAACCAACGGCTATTAACACGCATCACTTTATTATTATTATTGTAATCCCATTTTTTATAGCTCAAATAATCTTCACCCACATTTTCGTTTTAAGCGTGTTAAGCATGAAGGCAGATTTTTTAAAAATTATTACATGTATTTCCCGACCAGATGCTGCTGCATTCTTTTTGATTTACCTTTCAGCTTATCATTACCCCGGGAGATTCTTCCTAGTCTTGGTAACCTTCGGCGCACGACAATCCCATCCAATTCGGTATCGAACCAACATCACGTTGATTCTGGTGGGAGAGTAGTGTAGTGGCATTGGACAATAACCGCACAATCCACAAAGCTGAACGCGAGACTACTCAGAAAATAGATATTCAATATTTAACGCGGATAAATACCTAACGATGGAGAAGGCACGAACAATGAATAATAATAATAATAGTTTATTCTCAAATAACAGTTTGTTACATGAGGCATGCCAGTTTACAGGCAAGATCAAATTGATACAAATGATACAATATTCACTGTAGTAAATTACATAGCTGGGTTGATAATTTATGAGATATGAATGTAGATGGTTTTAAGCAGTTCTACAGTTAGCGCGCTTCATGAAAGTTGCGTTGCAAATGTGCGACTGGTGGTCAAGGATAGGTCCATTGAAGGTATGAGCTTCTAGAAATCGCAACCTTATGTCCCTTTAGAATATCCAAGGCTTTAAGGATGGTGCAGGATGAAGTCACCCGTTCCATATCTCAAGGGGGCTGAAAGAGGGAGCAAGTAAAAGAAAACACGAGGGGCAGAGTAGCCAACATTCATGAAGGAATGTTCAAGGTATGATTACTCAGTCTAATTTTCTTTTATTAAGGTATTTGTTAAGAAATCGCATTTTAATAGGTTAAAGAAAATAAGTGATAACAAGGTGTGAGTGGACATACAACTGACAAATGGAGGCGATTCGTAAAGGAGCTGAAAGTATGGGATTATTTGTGATTATAAAATAAAATCTAGTGCTAGAAACAGTATTGTGATATACAATTGGCTATCTTCCTTTTATTATCGAAGCTATTAGAGCCCCTTTCGTTTTTTTGTGTTATTATTTTTTTCAGGTATTATAGGGTCTTGAGTAGGCTTCGTATATTAGCGAATTGTCTAGTTTGCTTGTAATAGGATTTCTGGGTAGGAAGTGAAACCAATTCAACGTTCGTAACACGATTTAAAGAGGTATTTTGCGTGATAAATCAGCATCAATACCATAAGTTCGTGACATCCCACTAAAACATAAGGAGCCGTAATTAAACAAAATGTTCTGCCCTACAGACATGGGTGGATTGAAGTTATCTCCCCACCTTCATGTTTGCTGGTCAGTAACGCCACCCTCCCTCCTTTTGTGATGTTAGGCTCTCTTACGTTTGTGGTAAGTATGAATACTGCTTTAATCAAAGCCCATAGTTGGAATACACTGTCTCTACTAGGTCCATGTTACAAGCAAATCAGATAGTTGAAAAGTTTTTTTGGGGGTTAGATGTCCATATAGTATATCACACTACTATGAAAATAACTAATGGTTTAAAGAAGTAAGGACTAATAGCAAATCAAAAGATATGAGAGGGTATAAAATTGTAGAAAGAAAAAAAAAAGATTTCAGGGTAAGACAAATAAAACATTGAGAAACTCACAAGACTTTGTGGGCAAATTTTGAGCTTTGTATGATCGGCCTTAGTAGATCAGCATCCATAAGGTTGAGCTATCTGTCTAATTGCAGTAGAAAAAAAAGCATGACTTTTAGGAAGAATAATGTACATTTAACCTGTAGAGATTTGGGGACTGAAAGCTAGGGTTAGGAGCATGAAGTCATGATTAATAAACAATGAATAATAGGAAAGGATAGGCCATATATTCTGTGATTTGGTTATATTCATATTAGTAACAGTCGAACGTGTTATAATTTTGTTCTTTCTAGACACTAGGCGGTCCGTAATAAAGTGCCTCCTTGGTGGGCGGGAGTTCAAGGAAATGTTGAAGCTCTTTGGAGTCTAGAAATAGGGTTATTAGCTTTTTGAATCTGGTAAACGTATCACAGTTACGGATAGGCATTGGCAGCCTGTTCCACAATAAACTGTACCGTACTGTAAAAAACTTACAACGCATTTGTTTTTGGTGTTTTACGGTAAGTAGTGTATATGCGTTGTTTCTAAGTCTATAGGCTGGGTCGTGGGTGATAGTCGGGCAGGAGGTTAGAAAGGAGAGCCCATATATCGCTTTGTAGAGAAATATTAAATTGTTTTTTAGCCTACGGTGCCATAAAGGTTCTAAAGATAGATGCTTACATCTTTCTGTGTAATCGAGATTCGAGTTACATCCTAGTAGTTGACGTGTGAAACGTCTTTGAACATCTTCTACTCTTATCTTGTCTGCGATATTCATATTAGAGAAGACAAAAGAGCAGTATTCAAGGGAGGGTCGTACACATATTTTGTAGAGAGTAAGTTTACCCTCTGTTGTGAAAAAGTTTTTCATTATAAAACCAATTAGCCGTCTAGATTTAGAAATAATATAGGAGGCATGTTCTTCAAAGTTTAGGCTTCCTGTGTAATTAATTCCTAAATCGTGTACTGATTCGAATGTTTGGACTCTACATTCATTTAAGTGAAGTCGCGGTTTATAGGGATGCTTTCCAAAGTGCATGATCCCGCACTTGTTGAGGTTAAATGGTAATTGCCATTTTTCACTCCATATAGTTAAGTTATTGAGGTCCTTTTGGATCTGGGATACACTTTCGCTTAGTGTCTCAGGCTTATAGCTGTATACTATTTTGAGATCATCAGCATATAAGTATGGTTTCCCAAATTCTATGGTGTTACATATATCGTTTATATACATAAGAAACAAAAGTGGACCTAATACGCTTCCCTGGATGACTCCACTGGTGATTGGTCTAGGGGACGAGAGACAGTCATTGTACTTTACCATCTGTTTACGTTCTGTTAAGAACGAAGCAAACCATGAGTACAGTGGGTTGTGTATTCCGAAGGACTTTAGTTTGACGAGTAGCCTTTTGTGTGGGACCTTATCAAAGGCTTTCTTAAAGTCAAGGAATAGGACTGATACAAGGAGTCCGCTGTCTCGTTTCAGAGTTATATCATTCAGGTAGTCTACTAGGCATGTATCGCATGATCTGGACCTAAGAAATCCATGCTGGGAGGTCGAGATGAGATTATTAGTTAGTAGATGTTGGACTACAGCCGCCTTAACTACTTTTTCCATCACTCTGGATACCACTGAAGTTATGTTTATAGGCCGGTAATTTTCAACGTTTGCTTCAGGTCCTGTTTTAATTTTGGGAATGATATGTGTAGTTTTCCAGGCAGTAGGGTAACACGCTGAAGAGAGTGATATCGCGAATAGTTTGAGAAGCAAAACACACATATCATCACCTCCACGTTTTAGCATGCTAGATGGGATACCATCTGGTCCATCAGTGTAGGAGTGTTTCAATGTACTGATTGCCTTGGAGATATTTTGTACACTGAATTCTACATTAGTAATTTCACAGGGAGTTACTGGGATTGGTTCTGAATCATTAAATGGTTTTTCGTTAGTTAGTGAGAAACAAAAATGTTCACTAAATAATTCTGTGATAAGTTTGGGATCTTCGTATACTTGTTTGCCTTTAATGAATATACTCCCTCTCGATTTAGAGCGTTTAAGTTTATTTTGGAGTAGTATGGTGAGTGCAGAGGAGTTATTATTAAGTTCAACTGCACGTTTTTCCTGTGCTACTGCTTTTTGTTTACTTATTGCCTCTGTTCGGACAAGTATTTCTGTCATCGTTACTAAAGAGGAAAAGTCATTTAAGTTGTGGAATCGAGTACAATGTCTTTGAAGACGTCTTCTTGTACTGACCGGTATATAGAGATCTTTGGAAAACGTAGGTTTACAGTATTCTAAAGGTGCGATGTTGTTGATGATACTTTTGATGTTGTGATAAAATATATTGATTAATGTGTCGGTATTGTTTGAGGTAAAGAAAGTTCTCCAATCAGTGCTTCTTAAGTAATTGTGGAAGTTATTCCAATCAACCTTGCGATAGTTTCTACGAAGTGTTACGGTTTTACTCCTATCGGTTGTGGTTTTTACATTAAGGCTGCATATGACAATGTTGTGATCACTACCTGGGAACTTTTTTCCAATATACAAAGTATTGGGGATGAGGCCACTGGTAAAGACTAAGTCTAAGATGTTTTGATGTCTGGTAGGGCTATCGACATACTGAGTCCATTGTCCAAGCTCTAGACATTCAATAAATGATTCATAACGTCTCGGCGCTTTGACTGGCAGCCAAGAAATTTCGGGCATATTGAAGTCACCACAAATGAGCTTGCCTGTGAATGAGAGGGATGATGCTAGTGTGAATACCTCCGATAATACTGCTATTTCATCTATTGATGCGTTAGGTTGACGATAAACACAGCCGAGCAGTAAGGTAACGGAATTCGACGGCTTTAATACAATCCACACCGAATCCTTCAGTTTGTTTAGTTCAGGCATATCACATAGCAGTGAGTTTAGGCTAGAGTGAGCGTAAATAAGGCATCCTCCGCCTCGTCCATTCAATCTATCGCTTCTATATAGGGAATAGTTATCAAGAGATATACTTCGGTCGGAAATATTACTGTTAGTCCATGCTTCAGATATCATAATAACTGATGGTTGATATATGGATACAAACAGGGCTAAATCCGTCTTTTTGTTGCAGATCGATCGAGCGTTGATAAGACATATATTAAGCAGGTGGCCTACTAAGTTAAAATGGGTGAGGGTATCTCGGATAAAATTGTCGTAACCCTCGCGCGTATGAGATGAGTTTGATGTGAGGGATTGGATGTTCTTCATTAGCTCGGTATTTTGATAGCTAGACTTATTGGGAGATGTATCAAATGAGCTAGTGAAGTTGATTGGGGAGTTTACCCAGGAGGAAAGGGTGGGAGTACTCTCTGGTGGAAACTGTACGGAGGAAACAAATTTATGGTTTGCATGTGGTTTGAAATAACCTGGGCTATATGCTTCAACAGAGGTGTCACTAGGGGTCTTATTCCAAAAAAATCTTGTACAGGCCTACTGTGAAGTGTATGGTTATTTACAAAATAGTCTTGATGGTTAGACTCGTAGCCCCTGTTATGGCTATTTACGTTAGCGTGAGAGGGGTCTGCTACGCGTAACTGGGAGGAGTTGCGACTGCTGTTATACATGGGAGCCGTTGTTATGTGATGGGTCGGTACTAAAGGGTGTGAGAAGTTTTCTTTCTGAGAGTAATTACAGTTGCGATCCTGGGGAATGTAGGTAGGGTGTGGAGTGAGAAACCTATTATTACCATTCTTATTCATGGTTTTAGGCTTCAGGGGGTGATTTGGGTGGCCAGTTCTCTGGTAGTTTTCGTTAGTCTGCGTGTAAGAAGGCTTGCTACGTTGAAGCCCACCACCCTTTTTGCAACTTGGAGGTGTTGAAGGCAAGTTATACGATAGCAGCGGGGAGAACCTGTTCACTGTTCTTGGGATACCTATAGAGCAGTTGGGTTCAATCTTACGTGTTTCCCTATTCGGTATCATGAGTTTTGTCTTCCCACCCTTTATTTTCAGAGCTGGAGTCTTTCGTTGTCTCTGTGAGATGAACTTACGTTCATTCAAGTCTACTTGTGGAATACCTTTAGGAGGACAAATTTTCAAGTGTATAGGTTTAGTTGGATGTGTGTTGTTACACGACTCACATTTTAGTACATTACTGAACGAACAGCTGGGATTAGTCATGTCGTTATGGTTTTTGGTGTCAGTTGGGGTCCGTATCTTATCCAAAGGTTTCTGATCTGTAGACTCATCTAGATCAACAGAGTGATCAGCCGTATGTGGAGTGGTGTCATGCTTATTGTTCGTGTGTTTTAAACTATTTGCTGTGTTGCAAACTGTCTCTGGCTGATTATTAACTGTAACACTCCCATTCAATTCTATCGCTTCGCGTCTTCTTACACGACGTTGACAGGGCGTAAGGTCTGGAGTGACTTTTATATTCTTGTATGGAATTAGTGAGCTAATATTTTTGCTCAGATTAATAAACTGCTTAGCATCGTTACAACAGCCAAACATAAACAAAAGGGGGCAAGTCGATCTGTCTGACTTTTTTCTAAGGCGGATGACTTTGCAGTTAACGTTCGGCATACCGCATGCTCTAAGGCAAATATCCCTTAACTTAGATGGGTGTGTGCGGTCGGGGAGGTTGTACACAACTGCATTGAAGGAGGACATCACTCTCTTCGTCACTTCTTCAGCCACAAACTCCAAAATACACTCAGCTTTAGTGAGTTGCTCAAGATTTCTGTCTGTATCAAGGCCCCATATATGAGTGAGGGGTGCTAATTGCTCAAGTTTGCCGTTAATTTCGGATAGAGAGTTTTGTAGCTGTCGGATGTCATTACTATATCTATCAGTATTTTGGTGTGTATGAGGTGGACCATTGGACTCTTTAGTTTTTGAAATTTTAGATTTAGGCCTTGGTAGCACATACTGTCTAGTAGACTGTGCTGCCTTTCGATGCACGTAGGTATAGTGTCTTGTATGTCAACCAGTCTTACCGTTGGCATACTGCACGTAAAGATAGAGGGGCTGCGACATGGAGAATCTGGTGACGATAGAGACATTTGTGTACAATACACATATTTTTCAGTAGTTAAAGGTTCGACATTGTCAAGCACTAAGTCGTCAGTTGTAGGGGTTACAGATTTGGACCTTTTATTTGGCTTAGAAGTTGGTGAAATTCCTCTTTTACTGGAGTTATTGGACATGATATGAAAATAAGTGAGCACAGTGCTCGTTAAATTAAATGTAATATCTGAGTATTAGTTGTTATTAAGTATTAACCTGGTTAATACTAGGATTAGAGACTGTGAGTATATAATGAATTGCAGATCTATTTACGACTTAAGTCCGCAATAGGTACAATACGAACTGGTAATTATCCGTCGAATAAAAACAAGTTTTTTCCTTATTTTTCGGGGTAAGATGTACCCGATGTACAGGATAGGATGATAATCACTGTATAATACACCCTACAAAAGAGCAAGTCGAAAAATTCCTAAACCACGTGAAAAAAATGTTACCACTTTCAAAGTTCGCTGGAGTTGATCGAGTGGCATGGCTCGGCCATGCAGGCGTGGTCTCTGCTGAATGTTACCTTATATCTTCTATTCATACTAAATATATTGTTCTTTCTCTAGCCTAACCTTGTTCTACATCATGTATTGGTAATTGATACGATACAATGAGTTGGTGTAGTCGATGGTGTGACTTCCACGTAAGATCTTATAGATTAGGCAGTTATATCATGACAAATCTACAAATTTAGGATTGGGCCTATTATTAGAGCAGTACTAATATCATAGTAGACCATAGTTCTACAAGTGCACACTGGATAACGGTAGATAAAAGATCGCTATCGAAACCTCCACCTGGAGCTGTAAGCTCTATCCAGTTGATATGCGGTGCGTTGAAGTCCCCATTGATGAGACAACATTCTGCCATACTCCAAGAACAGATGTGTCTTAAGATAGAGTCGTCAGCAAGACAACACGGACTACGGTATATTCCCCCTATAGTCACTAACACATTTCTAGATTTAATCTTACAACATGCAACCTCACATGTGCCACTGATATGAGCCTCCGATATGGTTGATTGTATACGAAAGTGATCCCTAACGTATAACATCATGCCTCCCCCTTGCGGCTTACAGATATAACCTGCAATGAAAGGAGAAAATTCTATATCTACGGTGAGTCAAGTTTCTGTAACAACAATTATATCGGGATATAATTCTTCCACCATCAGACTTAGCTCGGACGTTTTATTTCTAAGACTACGAGCGTTCGTGTAGCACACACCTAAGGTGTTTTGGCAATCAATCGTTTTACCCATACAGGCCTCGGAAGCATTGGCTTCCAAGACCTGACTACCTGAAAACCCTTAATGGTAAGGTTGTTTTCGCCGTTTGATGTGCGAGTCCTCAACTCCGTATGAGCATTCTTCCACTTGATTCGATCCTCAAGCGGCCAATCTGGTCGAATACGTATATTTGAGTCACGAGTTTTGGGTACGTTTTTCAGTAATATGTCTCTTTCTTCGAAACTCCCGAGAACCAGCTTCAGGATTCTTCTTGGTTGGATCTCGCCTCCAACCCATTTGCCGAGTCGTATTACTTTTGTAATATGTATCCCTGAAACCTCTTCAGGCAGCACATTTCTTACCACAGACTCCTCTAACTGCAGGTCATGTGCATGTCTTCTAGCACGGTCGTTATCTTTCGACTCCTCTAGATTCCAAATAATTAAACTAGGAAGGGGTTTACCTTCTTTCGAAATTGTGTTAACAGCTTTCGACCATGACGATAGATCCTTTATGTTAACTACTGGTATCTTACAATTAGCTTTTATTGTAACAGAGTCCTGTGAGTGACTCACAACAGTGTTAGACGAAGCTTTACTCTGGAGCTTTGGCGGATTGGTCTGAGAGTCCACCAACGACTTATCAAGTAAACAGTCATTAGTTTTAGCTGTTATTTGGTTTTTATTCTCAGTCACGCCAGGATGAATTTCACTCTTACCATCAGATTTTGGTAGTGCAGTATGTGACTCACAATGAGAGTCTGTAGTGGCATTGGACAATAGCCACACAATCCACAAAGCTGTGAACACGAGACTACTCAGGAAATAGATATTCAATATTTAACGCGGAGAAATACCTAACGATGGAGAAGGCGCGAACAATGAATTGAATGGACTGGAGTTAATCGGATGGCATGGCCTGGCTATGCAGGCGTGGTCCATCTGAATGTTATCTTATATCTTCTATTCGTATTAAATATATTGTTCCTTCTCTAGCCTAACGTTGTTCTACATCATGTATTGGTAATTGATACGATACAGTGAGTTGGCGTAGTCGATGGTGTGACTTCCACGTAAGATCTTATAGATTAGGCAGTTATATCATGACAAATTTAGGATTAGGTCTATTATTAGAGCAGTACTAATATCATAGTAGACCATAATTCTACATTGGTGAGCCCAACTAAAGAAGCGCAACCTAATATTGCTAATCCTTAGATCCACCTTAACCTTCTCAATCGATTTTTTATTTGTGTAAACCCATTATTCTAATAGTCCTCTGATTAATGATCACATGTATTATCGTAATATTATATTGATTAGTATTCATGACATACTAGCTCTGTCGATAATAAAAACTGTTCGTCTATATTAACTAATTAGCTTTGATGGTTCGTTAACAAGCTTTAATAGCATTTACATGCTTCAGCGACATAGACTTGTTTTAACATCAAGCTCTAGCAAATATGACCTGTAAATAGCGTAAATATACATTGACTATCAATGCAATCAAGGACTAAATAGTTATCTGTATCTTATTCTCAGTGTTCCTTCACTTAACAACTCATCCTGTTTTAAACTATGCACTATCCTGTAATATCTTTTCTTCCGACCACTGCCTGCCTAATTTCAAATTCTCGAGTTCCATTGCCAAACAACAAGGATGACACTTCTCTAAAAACATATGATGGCTCATTCAATGGCAACCACACAATTATCTGGATTCATTCGATTGTTCTGATCCGAGCGAGTGGCAAAAACGTCAACAGCATCAAGCACCCTGGAATTAATTGCCATACTGCATGTCTTATTCTGGATACTTTTGGATTATTACTACTCACGAATGGCGTTATATATGTCGTCCATTGAATAATCTAATTTTCAAAAATAACCCAGGCGAGTTCAACTATTTTACTTAATGATTTTTTCAACTTAACATGTATATGTTTTCCAGTTGCTTTTCCCATATATTTGTAAGTGTCTCTAGGCTAAATGCAGTAACTTCTTATGGAATGTTTATAACGCGTCATATTCCTGCCTGAAGTTTCACAAGCAGTCTTAACTTTCAAATTATGTTCTGGTCATGTTCATTATTTTTAAGTTGTCATATACGTCAACAACCTGCATGTTAATCTGGCCCGTACATACGTTTCCCTATATCTCCATGTCTTCTAAATTTAGAAATCATCTGAGTCGTCTTTCATATTAATCAGTAAACCCATCATAGTCGTTGTTGTTAATCGTATTTGGGTTTATGGATTGGTTTATCATAGTAGCAGCCTAAAATGCGAACATAGTTTAGATAATGAGATTAAAAATTTAGGTACTATCAACTGCACTAGTGAAATAACTAAATCCCTAGGTAGCTGTTGGCTAAACAAACGTTTGAAAATCAAAACTCCGTAGCCTACTAGAATTAACACTACACGAATCTTCCTGAATTGAAAGTTATAATTAAATTAGGCGTCTCGGATTCTTTAACGTTATAAATTTCTGATGATTTCGAATCACCTAAAGCAACAATACCTATTTTTCCACTGGCTAATCCTCATTCAACACTATAACTAGTTTAAACATTATAGTTTCAGGATATCGTCATAAAGCATTGTCATAACTTGACAATCACGTAATATGATTGATAAAATTAATGAAACTATTAACGAAATCGGTCAACAAATTGACTTATCATTATCACTAGTGTTGTTTTTCTTTTATCTTCATTCACTACAGATGATTACAGTAGGTTTCTCTATCAGTTGCTCATTCACTAAATATCTCAAAACCTTGTCAGTCTAATTGATGGTTTAGCGACACAATCATGCATGCAAATAATCAGTATAAGCAGTCGAGCAAATCTCCTGCAAACTGAAAACATCAATGTCGAATTTACCTCAACACTGACTAAGGTTCAAGCCATTATCATAGACATGAGTTGGGAGTGTACTCCCCTGGTTACAACTTATGTTCTCTCTGATAATCACACGAGTACCACTCACTATTAATCATCTTGTAAAAACTTATTTAGCTAAATACATCTTGCAGTACCACATCACTTCGTAATATGACACAGGCCTAACTGATTTTAATAACTTATAACCACTATATCTCAATTTAATCGTATTCCGCCTTATGATAAACTGCATACTTGCAACTAACTTGTATGCCCAATCAGCCAGCAAGTATAAATATAAATAAATAGTCTTCTGCAGATCAGAACATTGAGTCTAGAGCATGTCTCTTACGAATACACTCATGTTTAACGATTTGTTCCTAGCTATCTGTCCAAAATTCATAGAATTATCACCCATGTATTTAAATTTTGTTTTGATAACCATTCATGTATATTAGTAGTCTTACTAAATTCTATCA